TAAACCAGTTCTCTACCTCCAGCCACTAGGGGGCAGAATGTCATCGTAATTAAAAGCCAGGAGTCAGACAATATTTGGATTCAAATTCCAAAACTCGCCCAAATCACTATGAAAAACTGGATAAAACATAAAACATTTCCTAAAAGTAATAGAAAATGCATAAAAGCAGTCAGGAGCTTAAGGGGACTTGACACTCGGGAAAAGGAAAGGCTCAGAGGGAGTTTCTCATTTGTACAGCCGTTAATTCATTTATTTTTAGTACTGACTGGGGATTGACCTCTGGGCACTTAGCACTGAGCCACATCCCCAGCCCTTTTTATTTTTTATTTAGAGACAGGGCTTTGCTAAGCTGCTGAGGGCCTCTCTAAATTGCTGAGGCTGGCCTTGAACTTGCGCTCTTTCTGCCTCAGCCTCCTGAGTCAATGGTATTACAGGCTGCAGCCACTGCGCCCCACTTTGTGCAGTGTATATTTATCCTGGGGCGGGTTCTAGCCTGTGTCTTGAGTGGTGGCTGAAACTCCAGGGGGAAATCCACAGTCCTAGTTGGAAGAAGTAAGCGACAAGAAGGTAAGCATGTAAATCTGGAAGGGTACTAGAAAGGGGGGTACCTCGAATATTCTGTTTTCTTCAGTGTCTGCCTTTCACATACTAGGCCAGCCTCTACTACTGAGTTTCATTCCTGGGCCCTTTTTTACTTTCATTTATTTTTTGGTTTGTTTTTGTTTTGGGTATTGGGGATTGAACCCAGGGGTGCTTTAACCAGAGCCACATCCTCAGACATTTTTATTTTTTATTTTGAGACAGGGTCTTCCTGAGTTGCTAAAGCTGGCCTCATACTTGGCATCCTCCTGCCTCAGCCTTCTGAGTCGCTGGGATTACAAGCATTCACCCCGGCAACCGGCTTCATGTTCCTAAGATGTCAGTTTTCTCTGTTTTGGTCTGTATTATTGTATAACTCTGGTTATTTCCATCTTTTTCCCAAGGGACAAATTTAGGGGATAGGTCTAGGGGTCTTGAATCCCTTAAAAGGGATGTTTTCTTAATTCTTTAGCATTTTTTTTTAAATTAATAAGCCAACATTTTTAGACCTGTTTCAGGTTAATAAAAAACAAATCAGTGGTGGGACTCGGGTGTAGCTCAGTGGTGGAGCCCTTGCCTGATATGCATGAGACCCTGGGTTTGGTTCCCAGCACTGGGAAAAAAAATAAATACTGGAAAGTCCAGAGTTCACATTTATCCCTTCACCCTACCATGTTTCCATCACCACCATCATCATTTATTATTATTATTTTTTGTAGTGCTGGGGATCAAATTGAGGGTGTCATGCATGGTAAGGCAAGCGCTCTACACTGAGCTTCATTCCAGGCTCTGTAGTGTTGCGTCTTGCATTACTGTGATACATTGTTAAAATTGATAAGCTAATATTATTTATTATTTTAAAAACCCATTTAG